GCCCAACTTCAGCAACTTGGGCCTGGACGTGATTCTCAGCCCTGAGAATGTCCATGGATTCCCACAAAGGTCGGCCACCTCGTGGGCCAAGGCGTCCATGGCCTATTGACCAACCAGTTCGGCTACATTGGCCTGACTAACCCTCTCTTCCTGTACTAGAATATTGTCCAGTAGAGGCATCTCATGCCTCCTAGGCCTACTACGCCTATCACCACCACGTTTACGTCTTGACATCCTAATAAAAATAACAAAAGGTATTAGCACATTTACAGATGTGCTGAAGCTAACTCACTCACGTCCTAATACGATGGACAACAGTAAATCACTCCATATAAGCACGTAATCATATAAGAACATACGAATTTCCTTCCTAGATAATGACTGCCCCGCGACGTTGCTAAAGTTCTAATTAGAAACAACAGTGATCAAGTGCTCTTCTAATAGGACTTCCTGAAACCCGTAGACATATCTTAGGAACTAAATCCCATACCCATATAATCATATAAGTATGTTATCATACAAGCATACAATACGCACAAGCGTCTCAGCCAAGCGAGACGAACCCCTTGTGGTACTAACCACTTTCCACATACCTAAAGTATTGAAACCCGGTATGCTTTAATACCAAGTTGTAACGCCCCCAAAATAATACCATAAATCCAACTCATAAGCAGAAGAATAATAGAAATAAAGTACTTTCATTCATCAGAGTTCAATTACAAAAGTTAACACATGCATTATACATTCACAAATGTTCATCCTAAATCTACAGCATGTGTTGTAATTTAAAGAGAACTGAAAACTAAACAGGTAATAATATGCCCTATGGGCTTACATCTTTCCAAGTCATTATTTGGTTACAACAAGATGAGCCTAATTCAATACAATTAAAGCCCTTGGCTATACAAAAGGAATACAACAAAATAAAGAGCTCTTGCTTTTCAATAGTCCCTCCAAGTTATTGCCTTGGCGGAAGCATGTCATCAGCACCTGAAAATGGTTTTTTCCAAATAGGTTGAGCCGAAGCGCAGTAAGAATAATCTAACACAGTATATGAGATTTAAAAAAGATATAAGTATGATTGCAGATACAATACTAGTGACAAAATAACCACATTTCATATAACCATAAAACACCCAAAGTTCACATTTCAATTCATTTCAAATTAATTTATGCTTCTCAATTCATGAGCCACTTTCATTACCTTTCAACAACCTAATTGAGACCACAACTCAGTGGTTCTCAAATCAACACAACCACTTCAATCTTCCATTTTACAAAAATTTCGTCCACGAGATCGGCACTCATACACAAGATTTCAGGACTTTCACCCTAGACACTCCAGCCAACTTAATTCTCAGTGAAGTCCATCTCTTATCTCCTCCCAAATAATGCAGTATATCTTATTTCTCCTCCCAAACAATCATATATATACAATGCATATAAACCATAGCCATATCTAATGACAATCAACAATAGATTAGTTTCAATTTACCTAGTCCTTATGCAATTCCTACAACAATCATAGCTATCCTCCACCGATAGCCTAATACAGTTATTTCTAAACAGATATAAAATTTTCTCGACAGATATAGTATTCAAATTTCCATGAGTGAGATACAACACGTGTCCAACTCCACCATTCACATTAACAACCATCCAATTTCACATTACCATCATCAATTTCAATTATTTATACAAAATAACAATTTGATCCATTTAGGGCAAAACTCTTATTTTTCCAAATATCAACCCAAATGGCCCAAATCAAGTATTTGGCCACAATACAGCCTCACATTCAATGCCATAACCATTTATTTCACATTTACTTAGAAATCTCTCTTTTTATTTCACACTCAAACCCTAGATTTGCTCAAACTATTCCCAAATCCCATCATTGTTATACAATGACAAATAACTAAGCTAAAAACTATATGAAAGTGTAGAAAATCCCTACCTGAAAGAGAAAAGACGAGCCAAGGAAGAGTGAAACTTCAAAGACACCCAAATCCAACTCTATTCAGATCAAAATGACGATCTTGAGATTGTCTACCTTTCTATCAAAGGGATTAGGAAGAGGAAATTACTAGAAGTAAGTGAAAATGTAGAGAGAGAGAGAGAGAGAGAGGGAGAGAGAAAGAGAGGGTCTCAAGTTTAGGTTTTAGGAAGAAAAGATTTGAAAAAGTGATATAAAAAGTCATTTTTATGATTTGATATACGCACAGTTTGCTCAAGCGAAAGAGTTGACGCTCGAGTGTTAGACACAAAAGTGTTGTTTTGCTCAAGCGCAAGAAAGGGCGCTCAAGCGTCAAGACACAATGAACAAGACGCTCATTACTCGAGCACAAGAAGTGAAGCTCGAGCGTAGAAAACACACATCCAATAGTTTTGCAGACAACAGACCAACACTCAAGTGCAAGAAAGGCCGCTCGAGTGTCCACCCGTTAGCACGTAGAAAACATCGCTCGAGTGTAGAAAACACTCTCTTAGTAGTTTTGCAGACTTGCAAAGTACTGAGAATTCGCAAAACTCGCTCGAGCGCGAGAAGTGCTACTCGAGCAGAGGACCAAAATTCTAGGCAACACAAGGTTTGAAAAACAAGCGACCAACCTGCCCAAACACAACCACAACAACCCAAAAACCAATTTCAAAGAGACACAAGGGAAGTGAGGGATAAATGACAATATGAAAGCATTAAACTCGAGTCCGGGATACCACAAGAGTCGGGTCAAAATCGGGACCGCTATAGGTTCATTTTGTATATATATATACATATATTAAAAGTAGTGTTTTTCTCTTACTTAGGTGACACATTCTAAAAGTTTATTTTTTTCTAAAAAATTCACAAAACGTGCTTAATTATGAATTCTATTTGAGAAATATTTATTTTTCACATATATAATTATAATTTAATTATTATGATATTTGAAGAAAAATTATCTCGATATACAAATAAATAAGACAAAACGTGCTTAATTATGTGCATCATACGGATCAAATTAATTTTATTTTTTATTTTTTTTATTTAGCATTAAATTATTTATTACAAAACATTTATAATTAATTTAAAATTTATATACCTATATACAATATGTATAAATAATTCAAAAAGAATATTAAAGAAGAAAAATCAATACTCTACATATTTAATTTATATATTTTCTTCTTAATCCAATCACAACATATTTATATTTAATATTTTTAAATAAATTTTGTGTTCTATTTCTACATATTTTTATTTTTCAAATAAATATAAAAATTAAAATAAAATAAAATAATTAGAATCACTTTTAGTTTTGTATTACCTTGTTTGGGAACAAGTTATTTTGGGTTGGTTTGGGAAGTGGATTGACTTTTTGGCTTTTTGACTTTTTTTGCTATTTTAGCCTAGGCTAAAAAGTTTGGTTTGGGAAGGGCTTTTTGACTTTTTTGATTTTTTTTGTGAGAGAATAGTGTAATGATTATGAGTTGGATGTGATGTTTTGTTTGTTGTGGCTAAAATAACCTATTTTGTCTTTTGTGGCTATTTTAGCCACAAACCATCTTCCCAAACGGATCCATAACTTTTTGACTTTTTACGAAAAGATGTGCAGAAAATTAGAGAGAGTGATGTGACAACTTATAGTTACTTTTTGACTTTTTAGCTAAAATAGTTACTTCCCAAACGAGTTTTTAATTTAACTATTACTTTTAATATCGAAATGAGTGTTTATTTTATTATCTTATAATTTAATGTATTATATACTTTCTAATTTAACTATTTTTTTTAATATCAAAATAAGTGTTTATTTTATTATCTTATAATTTAATAAATATCATATAAAATCATTACATGATAATTATACTTTTATAGTACAATAGAATTAAAATTATCAAAATAAATAAATAATTTAACTATTATATGACAATTATATTTTTATAACACAATATAACTAAAGTTATCAAAATAAACGAATAATTTAACTAAATTTATTATATATAAGTATTCAAGTAATACTTTTATAAAACGACAAGGTTAAGATTATTAAAATTAAAAATTTATTTTAAATTTAAATTAAAATTATTCTTTTGTAACATATATTATAGTATAAAATATCATTACATTAATTAAAGTTAACTCTATTGTGATTTTATGTTAGATATCGTAGTTCGTGCAGTGATTTACATACACATGTATCTTTCAATTTGATATTGATTGATTAAAATAATGAAACTCAATATTTTTTTGTTTAGTTTTAGAAGATAGATTGACAAATGTCAAATGATAAATAATGTGGAATATTATTAAAGAATAATGATCGATCGAAAATGATTGTATATATTTAAGGCACCTATTGATATTTATTGAATAATTTTTAAATAAAATTTTGAATTTTTAATATTACTGATAATGCACCTTCATGAGCTCTGCCAGAAAAGATATGCAAAAATAATTTGGCTAGAATAAAATTTTTGCGGTTATTATGATATGTCACATAATTAATCAGAACCCCTTTGAGAACTGAAATTATTAATGTTATAGAGATTTTGTGCCTGATTTCCTTTGAGAACACTATTTATGATTTAAGACTCAAAATTAATTTAAATATCAGTGCTAATGGTTAATGCCAATAGGTTTGATTATGATATTTAAAGATCCAAGGTCTGTACAGATATCTCTGAGTACAAGGAGATGAATAACAATCCGCTTGTATCGGCAAAAGAAATTTTGTGGAAATGGCAGCCGCAGCGGCAGTATTGTGATGACATTAATAAAACTTTAATCCAAAACATATTTTTTTCTTTCAAAGGTAAAAAGTTTTTCTGCCCAAATAAACATTGTTTTTTTATCGATCCCAGAAAACAATTTTTGTCATATCCAATGCTACAAACATGCAAAAAATATTTTGTAGAAAATGTTTTTCAAATCTAAACTGCCGGTGATCGTTGCCATAAGAAGTTCTGAATTGTTGTGGGCAGTGCAAAAACCAGGGAAGAAATGGGAGTGAACTCAATAGAACTGAAAGAGCAATTGGAAAAATTGACAACCCTGAGCAGCAACAAAACAAAAAACTGTAAGGTCCCCACACATCCCTTTGGGGTTGCCATTCAAAACACTAACAATTGCAAGACGAGCAACAACAAAACTGAATATAAAGAAACAACCTATGACAAATCCTGCTCATATAAATAAAACAGATACACCAAGAAGAGAAAGCTAGTTATAATTTTAGAACACCACATAAAGAGTAATGAATCCAAACCCAGCATAAAACGAATTGTGAAAAAGATTTAAACATGAGCAGTGCCTTGGGTGAATTTTGGATCCTCGCATCTGTATTTCCCATCTGGTCCAATACCAAATCCTCTTGGATCCGCAAACACATTCTCCAATAGCTGGGTGCGAGACGGGTGAGGGCTGCTATCTGCAAACTCAACTGCTTCCTCGACCACTTCATCTATCTTCTTCTCTATGGCTTTTAACTCGGCTTCATTGGCCAGATTGTTGTCAAACATGTACCTTTTTAAGGCAGAGATGGGATCTCTAGTAGCATAATGAGCCTTCTCATCTGCCAAGTTCAACCAAAATATTAGGTGGAGAAGATTTATGATCTATAAATATGACAATAAAAACAGAAAGAAACAGAGGAAAGATGTAACATTGAAAAACTCTTCAATTACCTCAACCCGTTTTGTGGATACTCTTAGTCTTTACAACAAATGGTCAAAAGCAAATGACAAGCATGCAGAATTATATGAACCAATCAGGAGCTCAAGGCAACTAAAATGGACAAAGTGATCAAAACTCAAGTGATTAATAATTCACTTCAATTTCGGATTCAATAACACGAGTTGAATCGAGTTTGTTGAAACTTGTATCGAATTGTATGAATCGAATGACTCTATCAACCATGTTCACAAACTATAACAAAGCTCATGGCATTAACCTCATGTTAAAGATGCCTATAGAGCAAGTTGAGATATCAGTGGTTCTTTTGGAGCTGGCAGTAGATAGGCACAAGTTAATAATCACAAATGTAAGTCACTTCTCACTATACCAACAGTGTTTCAAATCTCTAACATTTTTGCAATCATGGCCACTCTGTAATGTGATGAACCCGTTACCCATCCAAGGTTATTTCAAAACATAGATGGAGCAATTTATTTCTTGGACTTTCAGATCACTTGAGGTATATGAAGGTGCTTAAAGGCAAGGTGTTTTCATGCTAAAACAACTAATGGCCATGCTAAGAGCAGCATGCTGAGCCGCGAAGAAGAAGGAGGTGGTTATGAAATAAAGGGTAAGGTCGTAACAATCAGTTATAAAGACCCTCATGCCACAACATTAATAAGAGTATGCCTGAAAACACAAACGAAGCAAACCACCACCCGATCAAGCAAAGACTTGGATGGCAAACACGACAGCAAATATTATGTGGACAAAAATTTCATCAGATGAAAGATGGTAAGCAACAGGTTAGGTTGTGTTTAGTTCATGGATTTGGAGAAAGATTTGAAAAGAAAAAAGGAAAAGGGAAAAGGGAAAAGGGAAAAGGTGTGAGAAATGTAGTTATATTTCATTTACATTTCACCAACCTTTATTCTTTCCCTTCAAAATCCCTCTCCAAATCCATGAATCATACCACGAATCAAACACAACCTGAGGGTCTAACCAATGTCACTAGCTCATCTCAAGAATACTAAGACGGTGGATTGACAGTATTCCTTCGGAAGTATACAAATTTTGTGAAAACACCTAGGTGTTGGTCTAAACTACCTATTCAAAGTGATGCTTAATTGCATAAACAAACATAAACAATTAAAATTGATAACATTGTATTTCCACAAGCACAGATTATGCAGCCAAATGGGTTTTCTAAACTTAACATAGAGTCATCACAGTCTAGTTCAATCACAATCACAATCACAATCACAATCACAATTGACAAAAATAAAAGAAGAGAACAAAAGTAGAATATACTCACTAGGGTCACGAAGCTCATCGGGATCAGCCAAAGAGTGTCCTCTGAACCTGTAAGTCTCGCATTCAATCAGAGTCGGGCCTTCTCCTCTCCTAGCCCTGTCAACAGCCTCCTTGGCAACCTCTCTCACCTTCAACACATCCATTCCATCAACATGAACACCAGGCATTCCAAAAGCCGGTCCTTTCTTCCAAATTTCCGGATCCGAAGTAGCCCTCAAATGAGACATCCCAATTGCCCACAAATTGTTCTCCACAACAAACACAATAGGCAATTTCCACAAAGCCGCCATGTTCAAACACTCAAAGAACTGGCCATTGTTAGTAGTCCCATCACCAAAAAAAGCCAAAGTGACATGATCACAATCAGCTTCCTTCAACACCTCCCTCCTGTACTTGCTACTGAATGCAGCCCCGGTGGCGACCGGAATTCCTTCGCCGATGAAGGCGAAACCACCGAGGACGTTGTGTTCGCCGGAAAACATGTGCATAGAGCCACCCTGGCCTCTGCAACAGCCGGTGGTCTTGCCGAAGAGCTCGCTCATGACAGCACGAGCAGGGACGCCTTTGCTCAATGCATGGACGTGATCGCGGTATGTGCTGACGACACAATCTTCTTTCTTGAGAAGTTTGATGAAACCTGTAGATACAGCTTCTTGGCCATTGTAGAGATGCACGAATCCGAACATTTTGCCTCTGTAGTACATCTGAGCACACATATCTTCGAAGGTTCTGCCCAGAATCATGTCCTCGTATAGCTCCAACCCTTCATCTTTCGTAATCAACTGCACATGAAAATCCCAAATTAGCAATCAAATCAAATCAAATCAAATCAAACAATTAATTAATAGGGTTTTTTTTTTTTTTTTACCAGATTGGAGATGGAAGTGGTGGATTTGGGCTTCTTTTCCTTGACGACATCGGAGACGGCGACGACGGAGGAGGGACGGCGGTGGGAAAGAGAGGGAATGGGTTTGGCGAGGGAATTGAGGCGGAGTTTTTGGGTTGAACCGAGGAAAGGAGAGGAGGTGGAGGTGGATTTGAGGGGATCGAAAAGAGGTTTGTCGGAAGATCTGGTGGATTTGATGATTTGAATTGCAGCAGCAGAGAAAGTTGAAGCCATTGTGGAAAGGAAAGGGAAGAGAATGGAATGGAGGAAAGTGTGAATGTGTGTTTATAAAGAGAGGAATTAAGAGAGAGAAAGAGAGAGAGAGAGAAAGGAGGAAAGGGAAGGGGAAGGCGGAGGTGGACGTGGGAGGAGGGGGCGGAGAAAACAAGGAAAGAAGGACAGCGCGGTGTGTGTGAGACAGAGAAGCGAAACGTGGAAATAACAGCCCAGCTCAGCTCCCAGCTGCGTGGCTGCCTTTGAAAATAAAAAATGATTAATAATGAAAATTAAAAAGACGGCCACCCAACCCCAACTGCACCACCTCCTTCCAAAATCCACACAAACACACTACCTCTTCTAATTTATTTCAAATAAATAGATTATATTTTGAGATTTTTATTGATATATCTCATGTGATGTTCTAACTCAATAAATTCATAAATGAAATTTATAATCTAATTACTCTTATGAGTTTATACTTTTACCAGCGTAATACTCGCGATATGCATGGTTTTAAATAAATAAATAATAATTAATTTTAAAATTAAATAATAAAAAAATAAAATTAATTAAATTTTAATTATTTTTACCATAATTTCTCTTATGGCTTTTTTTTTTCTCCCTACCATTAATGTTATATTTTAAGTTCTAAATAATAATAACATGAATCATAATGTAATTAATAAAAATTAAACAAAAATTATGATAAATTATAAAATTACACCTTTTAATTTTTATTTTTAGAAACAAAAACCACACCTATGATAAAATAAAAATATAGAGTAAACTACCAATAGGTCCTAATAATTAGATTTAATTCACATCAAGTCCTGTTACCCAAAATGCAACCTAATAGGGGGTGAATTAGGTTTTTACAAATTAAAATTAATAATACCCTAATAAAACTAACTACTAGTACAATAAATTATTAACAAGCACAATGATGAACTTAGAGGCTTTGGTAGATTTAATGAAAATTATAGCCGTTTATAGCCATTGTATTCATTTGAATTTATAACCGTTTATAGCCGTTGTAGTCATTTGAATTTATAGCCTTTTATAGCCGTTGTACTTCCATCATTACCAATTTGAATATCTTCTAATTCATCATTACAAATTTGAATATCTTCCACTTGAACATTTTGAACCTTTTGGCCTTTTGAGTCTTTATAGCCATTGTACTTCCATCATTACTAATTTGAATATCTTCCACTTGAACCTTTTTGGCCTGCTGCTGTGCTAGGCTGTTTGAATCTTTGTTTTGGGCTGTTTGAACTTCTGATTTAATCAAATATTAAATACATTCTAATAACATTTAGGATAAAAGTTTAGGTGAGAAATAATGAGACAAAATAAATTTTGATTCTATTTTTCTCTTTCAAATAAATCCTCAAAATAAACTTCGGATTCTATTTTTCTCTTTCAAATAAATTAAAACATGATTAAATAAATCATCAAAATAAATAAGTCTAACAATCTCCCCCTTTTTGATGATGACACACAATGATGTTTTGATTTGATTTGGGAGTAATAAAGGCTCCCCCTCAAGTCATGCTCCCTGAATTCATTTCTAAATATATAGGTTAGCACATGTGTAATAAATAAGCTTTAATTAATAACATGATATAAGATTAAGATATCAAATTATAAATACATAACATCAGATTAGTTTGAAAATAACACTATAATACATAATATCATATAATTTTCTCCCATTTTGACATTATCAAAAGGAAATTATGGCTCAGAATCTGGAGGAGGAGGAGGAAAATGATAGTGATAAATGACATCAAAAAATAGAAAATCAAAACATATATATACATATATATATGATTCGTCCGTGTCTCCTTTTTTTTGTCGAAAATCGCGTTGGACAAGCGTCCTCGCTTTTGCGTCAACTGACCAACAAAAGCGAGACGAGTCAATCAGTCAATCAGCTGCCTCGGCTCTCTCTCCCTCTTGTCGTCTTCTCCTCCGTCTTCTTCTTAATCACTCTCGTCGCCTTCTTCACCATTCTCTTCTATCTCTTCTTCACTACTTTTTTCTGTTTTTTCTTCTTCATCAAGAGACAAAGAAACTGAACGGAGGCGGCCAAACCTTAGTCTGTTCGTTTCTATTTCTCTACGACTCATTTCTTTGACACCTCTCACCTCCAATCCATGGCTTTCTCATCCCGTCCTCTCACTTTGTTTCCGGACCTGAATGATCCATGGCTGGACCGAGTGCCTCTACTCCTATTCTTCCTGTCATTCCTCTGCCTAACCTTTCTATGATGTCGATTGAGCAAATCATGGCAGCTCAATCTAATATAGAAGCCAATCATTTCACACTGACATCCTGTATAGAGATGGTGACGGTAATCACAAAATTGGCTCACCGATTGCAGAACAGGACGCGTGAGTTCCATCAGGTCAACGCCCAACTCTCTCTGCTCCAGCGCATGTACAAGGATGTGCGAGCAGAAATAGACGCACTGAAGGCCGAAAATAAAGAGCTTAAACGGAAGACCACCTCTATGGCCCGATTTGGAGCAACGTCATTCTTGGCCTTTGATAGTTAGCGGGGAGTCGTCGCTCTTGAAAAAAGCACGGGGCAGGGGCGTCAAGGGTTGCCCAAGGTGATAAAAAGAAGAAGAAAACGATAGAAGAGGCGAGTAAGTAAGATCGGCGGATGGCCGGAAAAAAAAAATGAAGGTTTTTTTTTTTTTTAATGTTTATTTTGATCGGCGTGTGGCCGTAAAAAAAATAAAGGGTGATTTTTTTTTTTGATTTTTTATGTAAATATTTGTATTATGATTTGTTGTTGTGTTTATGTTTAAGTACTGAAAAATAAAATTAAAAAGCAGAAAAAAATAAGAAAATTAAGCCCAAACAAAAAATAATAATAAGAGACTAAATTGTTAATGAGTATATGAGAAGCATTTGAGTATGATCTAATTCTCAATTTCTTAGCAAGAGCATACCAATCTCAAGATTGCAATAGACATAACAGTGCATAGATCAAACAAGGTTGCCAAGCAAGAGCATAAATATGGAGCTAAAGTTCAAGCCACTCTTCCTTGAGGAAAATGATCTTCCTCTTACATTATCAACAACTAATCAGCTCAAAGGTCATGTTGTAAGAATTAAGATACCAAAAGCATAGAGATTATCAAAATAATCAAAGATACTAAAACAATCAAGTCTCTTTTTTCTCCCCCGATGACATTTTCAACAAAATCAAGCACAAGGAGAGAGTATGGTACAATATATAGGATAAAAGAATGTAAGTCTCATTATAGCACAAATAATCATCCATATCAACGTAGCTTTATGATACAAAAAAAATGATAGCACATAATGATTGTACAATTGAAACTCATACCATTAGACAATAATGGGCAAAAAAAAAAAAAGTAAAATGTGAAGATGTAAGCCCATAAGTTTGATATAAAAAACAGAATAGAAACTGAGGGGATTTTAAAAACTAATCAAGTTTAAATTCTTCCCCTTGTTTCATTTGGTAAAATCAATAGGAGATATGATAAATGAAAGCTCATAATAGAAATGTTCTCGTCAATAATATCAAATAGGATGCCAAAATAATACCAACATACTATCTACCAAGGATACTAATATGCAATATAGAAGATTTGACAATCATAGTTCAAACATTATGTAGAATACCAAATATTGCTCATAATATGTTAAACTAAATATAATCTCATGGAGCTAATGTAATTCAAAAAAAAAATTGAAGCATGTTCAAGGTATAACAATCTATATGCCAAGAAAAATCATGAATTTCAATATGTACCATACATTTAAGCATATGCATGATTTTTAGGTAAGAGCATCATCAAATAGTATACATTGCAAATCATATGAAGCATAATCAATCTTTTTCATATCAAAGTAATAACAGTATTAGCTCAAGGGATATAAGATAGAATTTTTACCTCAAAAGCTTAAGAGAGTAAATGAGGCATACGTTAGATTCAAGAGATGGGAGCTTTTCAATCTTCAATTTTCTTTCATGAGGAGTTCATCTCAAAAGGGTTTAACAAGTATGTTAGCAAAATGATTTCTCCCCCTAAGTTGGTGCTACCATTTTCTAATGTGATTTGTGTAAATGTAACATTCATAGAACAATCACTATTACTCAATAAAAATACAACACAAATCACTTCTTATCACAAACTCAAAAGGTGAAAAATAATTCAATGATCAAACAAGAGTTTGGAATGCTATTTTTCAGAATTTTTAAGTTGTAGCACATAGCATAATATGCATAAGAAAATAGTATTATGCTCTTTGTTTATTTAAAAATGATGCAACAATCTCATATAATCACATAACATTATCAAGAGGCATTTTCATCAATTCAATCCACATACTCAAGTGTGATAAAACATTTTACTTAATGTGGAACACAACATGAATGTTATAAACAATTAATTAAACAATTTATCAATCAAAAGCATTTCATGAGATGTATGTCAATATAATCCATATTCAAAAGATATTCAATAGGATAGATGCAATGTCTCTACAAACGTATGATACTTCTTTTCATTTAGACATTGTTGATGAATCATAATCAAGGAATTTCACAACTCATTCAAATATTCCAATGTAAAGCATATAAGCATGAAATTTTCATATTGAGCATATTCTTGAGATCACAAATGTAGAATTCAAAATATAGATAGTATACATCTCAAAAACATGCTATGACATCAAAATTGATTCTACAAAGATATGACTCAAAAAGGAATTAACATATTAGTATGAAGTCATATATAAGATGTGAAAAGTATGCTCACAAAAAAATTTATCACTTCTTATCTCTTTTTCATAGCAATGGATGACATGTTATACAATGTTAATGACTACAAGAATCATTCATAGTCTAATAGAAATTCATCAAAATAATATAATTTTCATTTTTGAGTTCAATGAATGTTTGAAAGAAACTAACAGAACATGACTTAACAAACTTAGTACAATTAGGTTACATGGAAGCAATGATTAGACACAATCTATTATACACAAATCACATCTTAAAGAATATAAAACTTTAAGCTTAAAGGTGTGTTAGGAATTATACCTTTATTTATCTCTTTGGAATTTTTACCCATATATTACTTTTATTGTTTATCTTGGTGATTTTCATTTCATCATTCTTCTTCTTGTAGGAGCTAATTTTGCTCTTTAGATTGAACACTCTTGTTGTGCATTTCCTCTCT